CCCCCTTTCGCTTCTGCAGTAGCTTGGCCCTGGTCTGCTGATGGACTCTCTGGGAGCCGGGGACAGAGGGCAGGGGGCTGTCAGCTCGCCCCGCTGCAGGATCCCAGGACCAGTCTGCAGCAGTGTCTGCCAGCAGGATGCTGCCAGGACCCTGAACGCTGCTGCACTCCACCCTACAACGATCCATGCTCTCACTAGTCACTGCCCAACCGGTCCCCTGGACCCCGCTAGTCCTTGCCTGCCCTCCAGCCCACCCACACAGCCTGGCCTTGTTGAACACCACCTATCCCCCAGCAGGATGCACAGAGGGATGGAGGACATGCATCCTGCCCTGCCACAGCCCAGCTTGGCTCCTACCTGGCCCTTCTCTGCATCGTCACCCTGGTAGCATTTGGGGCACTCCCAGCAGTTAGGGAGCTCATCGTTGAGCAGCCCCTCCCCATCCATCTGCAAAGAGAAGCAGGCGGTCAGCAGCAGTCCCTTTCCCACAGCCAAGCCCTCCCCTGCCTCGGCACCCGCACTGCTCACCTGCAGGCAGCCAGGGTGAACAATCTCGTTGCAGATGCAGCACTCCATGAGCTTCTTCTCAAAGTCCTGCGAGTCCTCATTCTGATCCACCTCCCCGCAAAGTGCACACGTGACCGAGTGAGGCAGCCTAGGCTACAAAAGAAAGCAGGGGTGAAACCAGGGCAAGGTGGGACAGCCTTCCTCCTTCTCTCCTCCATCGCCTGAATCATGGGGAAGGGGCCAACTATCCCCCAGGATTCAAATTTGGTCATTGCCCTCCTCTGTCTGACCCTGATTGGCCACATAGAGTTGCTGCCCGGCTGCACTGGACTTCTGAGAAAAGGATCAGGCCGTAGACTCACCGCTAAGCATTGCCGGAGGACGCAGGACTGCTTCATGCGGCCAGGTCCACCAAACTTCTTCATGTCCCTGCAATAGTGGCACATGCCACACTCGCCCTGCATGCAAGCCTTGCATTTTCGGCACCGCACCCGCCTCCGCCGGGCGCCTGACACAATGGGAGAGACCGTAGGCCTGACGGGTGTCGGGCGAGGGGCTGGCTTCATGGTGTGCGGCTTGGTGATGGGGATGGTGGGCAGGCGCACCCTCAGCCGGGCCTGGAGCTTTAGCTGGCAAGAGAAGTAGAGAGGGAAGAAGTGCAAGATGAGCATTCAGCTCAGATCAGAAAGCCTCTGATTCCCTGGCTCCCTTGCTACGATGTCAGATAACGTGACAGAGAGCAGTCCCACTCCCTCACCTATCTACAGACAAAGGAGTCTGTATCAGCGCTGCCCTGGCCAGCTCTCCTCGAGCACACTCACTCGGCCTTCACCATCCCACACCAAGAGTTTTCCTTCCTCTCATCCCTCATCAGGAGTCAGAAATGGGCTGCTGAGTCCCAAAAGCATCGCAGTGCCCCAAAACCAGCCATTCATTGCTTCTGAAGCAAGGAATGACAGCGAAAGGCTGCCCTCTAACCTCCCTACCACCAGCTGTGCAAGG